TTTTAACCAACATAGATTGAACAGGTTTAGGATTAATATATTGATTGTATGTTAGTCGAAAGCGCACGTGAATATGAGAAGAATAACGTAGAGGCCTATTTTTAGGGCAGGTTCAATCTCTTTTAGGTTGGATTTGTACCTTCATCCCCGAATATCTAGTCATGGTTCTAGACCACTATGGTGTTAACGATCTCATGGATCGTGAAGGGGTGTAACCTTCACCCTCTGAACAGTTTACAAGCTCCTAAAACTTGTTGGCAACTCTTTTTCTCTAACTTCCTTCCCTTTATACGTCACCATATTTAAGTGTATGATCACAGTGGGGCTCCAGTGTGGGATGCTTAAAATATTCCCTACACTTATTAAACGTTATTTTCAATTACATATTTCCTTTAAACATGCAATATGGTGATCAACATTAAATATAATAGAATAAACATCAACATTGGAAGTAATTTAACAATAAATCGTTAATCAAATCAAATTATAATAATAACCCTAATCATGATACTAGCAATAAGAATAATAATAATAATAATAAGAGTAATTATTAAGTGATTAATTACTCACTTTCCGCATTTCCTTGAATAGCTACATCATGAAGAAACTGTTAGTAACTTCAATATAAATAACATTAAATTGAAATTAAATCAAATAAAAGTAGAGTTGATTTAGTCCAAACCCTTAATCAATTTTACCTTTCACGTCTTGGTTTAAGTATAGAACTTTTGGTGTTGTATGTACTCCTTGGAGTTCTTAGGGAAGGAATAGTGTAGTTGGGATAGTAGATTTAAGGCTTAGAATATGATAAAGAGAGAAGAGAATGATTTTTGGTGCCCCGAAACTGGAGAAATCAGCTTTGTCTTTATAGAGAATATATGAGGGGTGAAGCACGGAAACCTATAAGTGAAAGGCTCCGCAAAAAAAACCCTAATTGAATGTCGTGTCACGGCATGTGTGCCGTGACACGGTGCATAACTCCGTCACGCGGTGTGCATACCTTGAAGCGGTATTTTTCTGTTTTCACGCGTTTTTAAAACCGTGATAACTTTTGATTCGGAACTCGAAATAAGAAATATAATATATCATTGGAAATATTATCAATTCTAATTTCCAACCCAATTAGAATCAGTTCAAAATATTTTGTAGATTTTGAGATATGGACGTTTTAGTGGAAGGGTTTCGGTTTTGGGCCGAGTTTAGTGTTTTGCTCATATCTTCTTCGTTTAAATCGGAATTGGGCTTATGATATATCGTTGGAAATTTTATTTCAAGGCCTATCAAACCAAATTATATTTGGATCAAAATTATAGGGCCAAACAATTAGTTAAGCTCGGTTTTGCGATGTGGACACAAAAAGTGGAAAATAAGTTATAGTTTAGCAAAATGGGCTAAGAATTGGGTTGGTTTACGAAATTTTTTGGGATTGATTATGGATTTAAGCACTCCAACGATTAAATACTTGACCCGACCAATAGTGGCGATGAAAGGTTGTTCATCATCGTGTTTGGTTTTGGGGAGACATTTTTAGGTGTCTACATTAAGGTATTATTTTCAAACCCACCACGTAGTGGTGATGACTAACTATCCTATCAAGTCTGTTTTTAGAAAACTAGAGCTAACAAGATAATTAGGCAAATGGAGATTTCATTTAATACACTCGGCATTGAATATCAACCTGGAAAAGCAATCAAGTCACAAGCTTTGGCAGATTTGTGGTTGACTTAAGCCCCGATCTGCAGGCCGTAGCTGACAAAGAAGTAGAAGAAATAAATAACGTCGACAAAGAAAGCAAATGGATCATGTTCGTAGATGGATCATCCAATCAATGTGGAGCTGGCGTGGGAATGTTGCTAAAGTCACCATAAGGGGACATGATAATGCGATCTATATCTTGTGATTTCAAAGTCGTTAATAATGAAGTGGAATATGAAGCATTAATTTCAGGATTGATAGTCACCAAAGACTTGGGGGCAACAACTCTGGACGTGTACAGTGACTCCCTCCTCATCGTCGGCCAACTGACAAGAGACTTCACAGCAAAAAGATTCTAAAATGACAGCCTACCTCGAAGTAGCCAAAGAAAAAGCCACACACTTTAATGCAATACAACAAATTCCAAGATACCAAAACTCCCAAACTGACGCACTTGCAAATTTAGCTTCGCACTCAAAAAGACCACCTTAACATCGATACCCCTAGTCAACTTACAAAAACCTTCCGTATCAACAAAATGCAATCCTCCCCGTCGACAACGTCAATAATGACAACGACTGAACAAAACCACTCATAAATTACCTCACCAACGACACCCTCCCAACGACCTAACAGAAGCCCGTAAACTAAAATACAAAACCTCCAGATACCACCTCATCGACGGAGTCATGTTCCATAAGTCAGCGTCAGGATTATCAAAAAGATGACTCCAAAGTCATGAACAACAATCCGTCCTTAGCCACTTACACGATGGCATATACACTAATCACTTCAGGGGGCAGAGGACTAGAAAGACTCGCAAAGAGACGAGGATACTTCTAGTCAACACTCCATGAGGACCCCGTCAAGTATGTTGCCTAATGTGATAGTTGTCAGGGATTTGCCAACACAGTCCACAAGCATTCGGAATCCTTGCACCAAACCTTATCTCTATGGCCTTTCATGAGTTAGGGAATGGACATCGTCGGGAAGCTACCTGCTGCACCAGGACAAAGAGTTTATATGCTAGCAATAATAGATTATTTTTATAAATGGATAGAAGCAATTGGCTTGAAACAAGTGACAGACAAGGAAGTCATCTCGTTTCCGTGGACTAACATTATTTGCAGGTTTTGCATTCCGTCGGTGACAGTCTGTGACAACGGATCACAGTTTATTAGCAACAAAACTCGTTCGTTTTGTAGAACATTTTGAGTAGAATTGGGGACGTCGACACCAAGATACCCCCAAGCTAATGGACAAGCAAAATCCAACAACAAAGTCATTTTGAACGCTATCAAAAGTAAATTAAAATCAGCAAAAGGAAGATAACCGTCCTGTGGGCCAATCGAACGACGTCGAGGCGTGTAACAGGATAGACGCCTTTCTCCCTTATCTATGGTTGTGAAGCCGTCTTCCTAGTAAAATTTGAATTTCAAACGTCTTGATTTGGGCTGATGACGGAAGACAGAAACCAAGAAGAAATGGAAGACAGCTTAGACGCAGTTAGAGAATTGCGAGAAATAGCCCTAATCAGAATGGAAGCGTAACAACAAATAGTCGCAAGAAGCTTCAATAAAAATGTGTGCCTGGGTACTAAGGAAAGTTTCCAAAACACAGAGGACCCTACCAACGGTAAGCTGCCCCCCCCCCCGAAAGGTCCATACAAGATCACCCAATTCATCGGCAACAACGCCTATTGACTGTGCGATCAGCAAGGTAAACCTGTTCCAAGAAGTTGGAACGCAACTCATCTCAAAAATTACTACTTCTAAAGTGTCAAAAGAGTATTCGTCAACGATAAGGTAACATCTCTGATCTTACATTTGATTACTTATTTTCACTACGAGTTCTAACTTAAGCATCGAAGGGTCGTTGACCATATCAACGGCCAACGATACTCTAACCATGTTAGTTTTGCAGTACATTAATCGACGAAATATGCAGCGACGAAACAAAAGACTCAGCTCATGACCCAAAATCACATCAAACGACACAAAAAAATCGTCGTCGACTGCACTAACATCCTCTAAAAGGATGAGGATATTTGACGTTCAAATAAGAACATCAAAACAAAACAAATCCTAGGAAAATATGACCTTAGCGTCCAACGCCAAACACCCGACACCTGAACTACAAACTTAGTCTTTAGTGTTCAGCATCGACGCTGGGACGCAAGGGGCATTGGCAAACAACGAAGGCTTAACTCGAGTATATATAGTCTTCGATGAAAACATTGACATCGAAAAGACCAATGTATAAAATAAAAATTTACTAAGTTTTACATCTTTCATTTATTACATTATCTAGTGTATTTAGAAACAGACTAATAAATACCTTCTAATTTATATTATTCTTATTCGTTTGTTCCCTTTTGTTTTGGTTCTAGCTTAACTATTTTTCTCTAAACTATTAAATCTTTTCCTTACATTTCTTGCTATACGCAGATCAAAAGCAAAAGACAATAAATGAAACAAAGGAAAAATATCATAACAAAATTTATGACAAAGTCACAACAATGTTCAAAAGAACCACTTGTCATCAAGTGGAACATAAAGAAACAAAATCCAAAACAAGAGAATTGAAAAGAATCAACAGGAAAATATCCAAGCCAAAAAGAAAGAACATCAAGGTACGAAACAAAAACAGAAATACATAACAAAAGAAAGCGAAACCATCATAACCAATGTTCTTCAAACAACGCGCCTTCAGTAGCATTGTCATCAGTGTTCAGCTCCTCGACGACGTCCTTAACGATCTCGTCGGCCTGAGCATTATCCCTAACGCCTTCACCAGTTGTCGGTTACGCTCCAGCATCGCCAGTGGACGGAGGAATAACGAACAATGATCGACGGATGAGGTCTTGAATCCGTAGTCGAAACCACTACAGTATGATCTCCTAGTGCAACTAGAGCTCCTCCATTAGCTATAAAACGATTAATGTGCTCCTGAGGTCGCCACCCGAATCCTTCCCATCCGGGTACTATTTCATCAATTTAGCCTTGAGCTTGATCTCCAGCTCCGCACCCTCATCTAGAGCGTCGTCTAACTCCTTTTTTATTGTCAACAGCTCACCTTGCACCTTTGACAAAGCTTGGTGTCTATCCCGAATGATAAAAACTTTGTCTTCCAAATGCTAAGCTTGCTCCTTCAGTTGCTTGGCCTGATCCTGCAACTATTGGGCTTATTCCTCCAACTTCTTTGATTGCTAGTCCGTCTTCTTGGACAATTATTCTAAACAACTTTCAAGTTTGTCCACTTTCTTATTCGCTTCGTCGAGCTCCTTCCTCATGGTCAAAAATTTCCTCGTTGCATTCTTTGTCTTAGCTTCACTATTCTTCGCAACATCATCCAACCTCTTCATATCCTTAGCCAACCCGATCACCCTCTCCCTCAAAACCAGGGAATTTTGCAAATACTGTCCAATCCAGCAAAACACGAATTACAAACCAAAATACACATTGCTAACCAAATAAACAAAGGAAGGAAAACTACATAAAGATGAACGGAAGCATCCTCCGACGCGATGTCCAAATTGGAAGTCCCAGCCAAATGCTCTCGAGAACCCCGAAACAACACTTGATTTAGTTGAGGGAACATAGGCTGACGATTCCTCTTAGCAAGGTTGAGAAATTCAGAAGGAAAGCGTATCTCCACATCTTAAAATACTAGGGCATCGTCCATCTTCTGCTGTTTATGCAGAGGAGACGACGCTATGTGAACCACAACAGCTTCGTCGCTAACTTTATGTGCAACGAAGCATGATGTTGTTCTGTCCTGTCCACCACCGAGAATGGCGACGCCACTTGAGGTGGTAAACCCCATTTTCTCCTCATCTTCACGTCTTAATCTGCCTGCGACAAGCTTCTGTAAGGAATTATAGGTACTACGCAGCGGAATAAACATGAATCACATTCATTAAGCACCAAACCAAGGATCTCATGCATAACACATAAAGAGTAACAATTATACCTTTGAAGCGTGATTCCACTAGTAATCGAACAAGAACAAGGGAGACAAAGAACCTCAAACGTGATTCCTCTACTTGGTCCACAAGCACGGATTAATACCTCCACTAATGCTAGTTAGTCGCGATCAAACTCTTCAACCGACTTTCTACTGAGAAGAATGAACAACGAACTAGTCATGAACCACCACGAACTCCACCAGGAGTGGCCGGCCGCAAGTCCAATGGGGGAGAGGGGTGCCGTGAGAGAGAGAGGGAGGTTTAGGGTTTTTGGGATTTGGTTGCCTTGATTCACAATTCACTGTAAGTTAATTGTGACTTAATTGATCAACCCTAGGCATGGATCTTATTTATAGATCACATCTCTAAATAAGAGTCCATGAAAAAGCCAAATTCCTAATCCCAATCAAACTACACTATCCCAATCCTATTCATGATTAGTTAAATGCTCATAGGGCCCATTAATGGGCCTCTTACTTGCTTAACCCAATACCTTTGTGTGTGACCTCATAGGATCCATTCTAGCGAGCTTTGAACTATTTTACTAGCCCAAAGATCATCTCTCATAGTCTAGCAACAGATGATGACGCCAAAGAGAATGAACTTATTATCTCCATAATAGTGATCCTTGATATATCTAGTAATTGCACTTATCGAAGACACAACTCCTTCAGTTTCATCCTCGACGACCGCCTTGCGCTGCAAATTCTGACCAAAATAGAACATAACGTACAACGGATTAACACTTAAACAAAAACAATGACACAAATAGCGAATTTAACAAAATGACAAAGACTCACAAGTAGACATCATTTCCTCGAAATCTTCGGCTTATAGGGAAAAGTTCGGTGAATCCTTGTGTTTTTGTCCCAACGATTCACTAAGAGGGTGCCTCGTCCTTCCAAAGTTCTTTTCGCATACCCAGCTTCCAAAGCCCGTTACACCTTCGTCAACGATCCTTTTGTTAGCTTAAGATAATCATAATCAAGCTCTGCACATATAAAACCAATATCAAACATTCAGAAAACCTTAGTTCTATGATACCAAGTCCTAAGATAAATTGCTTACCCTTCTCCGGCCATCCTTTCGTCAGCCACATTCTGTCATTACCTATTGAAGACTTCTTGACAAAAATAAAATAATTGGCCCAACCCCTATCATTACAATCAGTGTTCAAAACCAGCGGTTCTCCCTTCTTGTGTAAACTCACAAAACGATGCGTTCTCATCTTTATGCCATAAGCCTCAACTAGATCTTCCAAAGTAAAAGAATCCTCCTAGTTCATGGTAATTCCTTCCAAAACTGATAAAATTATCCAACCCGACAGCATCAACTGCCAGGGCTTAACCCCAATACCTCGAAGAAATTAAAGACCTAGTCAGAGGCTTGAAGGAAAATTCAGCCCATGTCTCCATAAATGGGTATCTGAAAAACACTATAAACCCTTTTAGTTAGTTCTCCACCTTCGGACCCTTTCCAGCAAACACACTCTCAGGGAACCCTGCCATTTTAACGAAGTCATCCTTCAAAGCAGTCATCATCAATGACTCCGCATTTAATACCACTTTCATTTCTAAAACAATTGTTCCCCTTTTCTCAACAACTCAAAGCAAAAACCTAAACCTAGTTTTAGGAATTCTATTTGACATTTGCCGAATTTAACTAAGAAAACAAAGAATTGAAGTAATTACCTATCGATTTGAGCTGACGAGAGTTCAAAATCGAAATCGTCGCCGCTCACCGCCTTAGAATCACCCGAGAACTTTTGCCAAAGAGAGAGAAGGAGTGTAGTAATTCCGGGGAAGCGGGAAAAATGTAGCAGTAATAAAGGCAAGAAGCTAAGTGACGGTTAAATGGAGAAGTGGGAAGTTGGAGTAACTTCTCGAGTTAGTACAACAAGCGGAAAGATGATCTACCTTTAAATAAGTTGATTTTGAATCAATTTTGATTTTTGAATTTCTCTGTTTATTTTTCATTTCCATAGTTTTAATTGTTGAATTTGTACATCGCTGCCCATATTAAGCAATTAGGGGCAAATTGTTATGGTTAAATTTTAGTAAGTCAACATCAACGCAAGTCAGGCAAGGTCAAAGACGAAGAGTAAAGCATCGATGAATAAAGCCCAGGCTTGACGGACGAAACCTTAATAAACAGCCCCCGGCCTATTTTCCAGGAGATGATAAGCTTCAGTGACTTGGTCTTTTGCTATCTAAATCAAGCCGTTAGTGGGCTAAGTTAAGGGTTGGTCAGCAATCAAAGGGATATGGCCAAATATTAAGGGAGGCATTATATCATTTTATAATGACTATATTGAACCCTAATAAACATCTATTAAAGGAAGAAGCATCATCAATGTTAGACACACTGAAGCCTAGCTACCAGAGTACACCGAGCATACATTGCAATCCTTCTTCAATATTTTACATAGTGAAAGTTTGGTAGACCCTCATTCTACCAGCGGTTTTACCTCTTTTGGGTTTTCCACATCAACAATTCCTTAATTGTGTCATTTCTTTATTTCGTATTATTTTAAAATAAGGTGTATTTATTTGGTTCGAAACCTAGATTTTGCTATTCAATCCCACTCGACGAAATTCAACATAAACAATAAGTATCAATTATTTCCTTAAAAAAAAGTATAATCTATTTCCTATTACTCCATAGTAAAGAGTTCTTAAGTGTGATTCGATGATTTTCGTACAATTATTTACTTGATGAATAAGGTGTCAAAAACTCACCCGACCCGAAAGGTTCATCTAAAACCGAATTGTTTTCTAACTGGTTTAACCCGCAAATTTTTTATCCGAATTCGATCTGGAGTCAACCCGAAGTTAACTCATAACCGACTTCACCTATTAATATATGGTCCAAACCCAACTTAGAATCGACTCATAGTCAAATCGAAACTATTAAGACCCGATAATTCAAGATCCGAATTCGATCTAATTCGAAACAAAATCTACCCAAAACCATTTTGACCCTAAAAGTATCTCTTTTTACCCGATCTATTTATTACCCGATTTCTATTTACCCGACTTGAAACATCCTTTGACCCAACTTAACCCGACCCAAATCTACTCATGATTAATTTTTACCCGGCCTTTTTAATTAACTTAATCCAAAAATTTTCATGACCATCCTCTCCAACCATTTTAAGTTGTAATTAGGAAAAGTGAGACATACACTATCATATTTACTTATATATCCTTTGCATTCGTCTAACTAAGCTAACAAACTATAATTACATCCAAGAGCCCATGATTTCACACATCTAAATATTCTACATTTCTACAACATTGCAAACTAAAAGCTCATGGATGACCAAAAATTTAACGTATGTACATTATTAATTCATTATTCTTGTCAACACCAATGTCAAAATCAATCCAATCATTCGTTAGAGTGAGATATGGACTTTGTGTTAACATATTTTATATAAGTTAAATAAATCTAATGCTAATCCAAAAAATAAAAAAAAAAGTTAGAATTTATCATCTGCATTCATCTAATACTAATACTATACTTATCCTGTGCATTCATCTAAATAAATCTAATACTTATCATCTGCTTTCATCTAAATGATCAATAAATTATTGTATTGAAAAGCTAGAATTTAAAATTTGATAAACAAAAATAAAATTAATACTGCATTGAAAAACATGGAGTAAAAATTATTATGTAATTTTATTTCTGATGTCCACTACCGCTACCGAAATCAAATTACATTTATTTAGAGTTATAAAAACCATCGCACACAATAACAAAAACTTAAAATCTGGGAATGTAATCTGATTCATCACGCAGGGGCATCAACACTTCAGCATGGCAGCAACCCTGTACATTAAGAAAAAAAAATCAGATTAAAAGAAATTAAAAGAATGATTTTTGAACCAAAAAAACAAGTGCATAGACCTACCTTATTAGGGAATAGATTCATAATCGATATCATTAGGGTCGGTCTCCCTTTCAATATCAAGATAGTCTTCATCCTCCAATTCTTCATAACCAGATATCCAATTTTGACAAGTAACCAAAACCTCGACATTTTTCGGCAACAAACGTGACCTATACTTGGTTAAAATTCTACCTCCCATACTAAAAGCAGATTCCGAAGCTACGGATGTAATGGGAATTGCTAACACATCTCTAGCCATTCGAGCAAGAGATATAGGAAATAGTGAAATACATAGATACTAAATAAATATAGAGTGGAAATAAATTGATATATTGTTAATATAAGGAAAACCGTGCGCAAAGAAATGGCAATGTTGAATGGAGTCAACATATTAGGGACAATACAAATGTACAAATTGTCATTGATTGATATTAGTGCATGGATTAGGGACGGTACAATGATCATTGATTGATATATTTAGACAATTAGTCTATGATTTTGCACTCTAAAGTCAAACAATCCAATATTATCATTATACCATGAAATATACTTCCTAAAATGTATAAAATTTGAAGTTTATGACATTAAATATGTATAATATATGTTATATTAATGTGATTAGGTGTATTATATTCACGATTTTGATGAATCTGAATTTATCTGAATTTATTTCAACTTAATTGATCTTATCTGAATTTATTTCAACATATGTTACATATATGGATTTATCAGAATGTATCTGAAATAATCTGAATTTAATTATTTGAATTTATCTTAATTAATCTTAATATATCAAAACTTATCTAAACTTATATGATATTATCTGAACTTATTACACAAAGTCTTTATGTGGTCGGTCACATCGTGTGGCTGGGGTTACTTTATTAGTGTAATCGCGGTTACTTGATCAGTGTTAAAGGGATTACTTGATCAGTGTTAAAGGGGTTACTTCCTCAGTGCTATAGGGTTACTCAGTGTTATAGGGGTTACTAAGTTTGTATTACAGGGGTTACTTGGTCAGTTCGTTTTATATGGGTTACTTTTTTTTAAATAAGTGGTTACTTGGTGTGGCTGGCCACACACAAGACGGGTTGGCGAACTTATAGTCTTGTAATAAGAGAAAATAATAAGGCGAGTTGAACAAACCCTTATTAGAACGGACTCTAACATATTAGGGCTTATTTAGCTTATTTTAGTTATAATTTATTTGAATTTGGATATTAGACAGTATGTTTATTTCATCTGACTGTCACTAATCTTATCTTATTGCCGTATTGGCCTAGTTTAGGGTTTGCATTGCATAAAGTTGTAAGAAAATTACAAGGTATGGTCCAAATTGAGAATTTTATAATATAAAGTGTAGTTAGTGGAAATATAATTAATTGTTAATATGAGTAAGAAATAATAAAATATTTTTGTTGGTAGGATTAATGAGGAGAAGTAATAAAATATTCGTAGTAACGTGTCCTTACTAAATAAGATGTTAGAATTATTATGAAACCAACGTAAAGTAAATATGTGTTGCGATTATTACAAAATGGAGGGGTATAACTTCATTAACAATAACAAAATCAAACGTTACTAAAATATGAAAAATCTTGTATTCTTAATCACGAGTTAGTTGCTAATATACAATAGACAATCTCGATACTTCTAATAATCGAGTAGCCAATGAATTGGCGATGATAAATAGCCACAAAGACGACGATAAACCAAAACGTAAGGAAACATTTTATAATATGTGATAATCACCTGATCAAGGAGATAAATAATCATTTTAATTTCTTTAATAACTTGAGTTGTCAATCTTATATCAATTCTGATAAGCCAATATAAAAACTTAAACGAAACCCAAAAAATGATCTAAACTATATATGAATAAAATCTCCAACAACAAAAATGACATGACTATTCTAATATAGCTAAAAGCCAAGTTGAATCGAGATTGACCCAAATTCAAATTATTCGACCCAAAAGAATGAGCTAATTATCGAAGTAACGAGATTCAATTTTTTGCCGGAACTGAATTGATTTGAACCGAGATTTAATCGAATACGAAATGACCTGACCCAAAGTTAAATAAATCCATTTTAACCCAAATAAACCCGATAAAATCCGGACCCGAGTTCTTCTGAACTCGGTATGACTCGACCCGAATTTGATTTGGGCCAAGTTTGATTTGTATCCGACCATGCTTGAACTCAACTTTAACCCGAATCTGATTAAGCTCAACCTGATTTGATTTGGTTTGTTAAGTTAAAATGACCCATCATTACCCGATCCAAACATCCCGACCCGTCGTGGGTCAACCCAAACTCCATCTGGGTACCCGATTTGACACCTCTAGTAGTTTTTCTTATTGCTAGAGAAAAATTGCTATCAAGTAATGCCACCCAATCGCTTTTAGCTAGGGGTTGCAATCTCTACTCGAAGAGAGTCACTAATGTACGAGTAATTTTCAATCTAAGAAATTATTAATAAAGCCAATTTGCAAGATGCAAACAAAGATTAGAAATGAAATAAGTACAGGATTATTGATTTCAACATTCAACTCAGAGAAGCACACACTAGCATAAAGATATATTTAGGCTAGCCAATTGAGGGACGTCATAATAGAAGAAAGATTACCTCCAAAACTTATCGTACAATTGAAGAAAACACTAAAGATTTCCAATTTATGGAAGTTAAGCTAAGTTATCCTAATCTAGACTACTAAGCCTAAAGATTAAGGTTAACGATAAGAAACTACGTTGATCGATTGTTTGCCCCTGAAGCTTTGATCATTGTCGAAATTCATAGTCACTAGTTTTCATGCTCTTGCCTTGAAGTTTTTGAATTACGCTCATTGTTATAAGGTAAAAGTGGTAAAACCCTGCATTCATCCTTTACTAACTGCTTCTCCATTCAGTTGCATTCCTTCTAACTGTTGTTAAAGCACAAATGAGGCTTAACCATGTTTTCTTATTATTTGGGCCTGCCTGAACAAGTTTTATAATGGATTGGCCCAAATTTTTTTTTTTTTAAAAAAGGGTTGTAACCCTTATGTGTTGAACTTTTTTGAAGATACTCTTTAGAAAGATCAAGTCCCTATATTTTACACGTAGCCAAAAAAAAAGAAATGAAAAGTAGTCAGTAGTAATAAGGGCTTATTTATTTGGGGGGGGGGGGGGGGAATATAGCAAATTAGCACCAAGACTTTAACTCTATGTTCAAATTACCCCCTTAACTTTTAATTATAGCAAATGGATCCCAAAACTTAACATATCGTGCAACGTACATCTGAGCATCACTATTTAACAATAAATTCATCAAAACATGCTAATTTTTTGTATTAATAATAAGCATTAAGAGTATTATACATGCGTTATATTTCTTACCATTTCAATTAAATGTGAGCAATTGAAGAGATTAATCAAGTATGATGGTTTGCTAAATTCTGTTAATTTTTTCGCCCTTTGTCATATTTCAGTGTCGATAATTTCTATATTTTATAGTATGTATTTAATATGTATGATAATGTATATGCACAATATTTTGGATGTAATTAATTTTTTTTTAACTTTTTTTTGTCTTTTATTGGAGTATATTTTATGAAATTTATATATTTTAATGTGATTTTGCTCAAATTTGATGAATAGGTTTTGATTGCACAATTATAATAAATTGTGGGGTTAATTTGCTACGAGTAAAAGTTATAGGGTTACTTTACACCTGCAATAAAAGGCTAATTTGCTACTACACCCTTTAATTGGGTAATTTGCCAATTACTACCGCAAGTTAATACTACTTTGTAAATTACTACCGCAAATTTAAAAAGTTTTGAATTACTACCGCAAAAGTTTTTAAGATGTTGCGATTACTACCAAACCCCCATTAAACCCAACTATGACGTCATTATATCACTTTAACCCATGGTTAAAGTCCTTAACCATGACGTCATTATATCCCTAACCATTTTTTTTTTTTTTTTGGGGGGGGGGGGGCTGGTTAAAGCCCTTAACCATGGTCAAACACGGGTTAAAGGGATATAATGACGTCATAGTTGGGTTTAATGGGGGTTTGGTAGTAATCGCAACATCTTAAAAAATTTTGCGGTAGTAATTCACAACTTTTTTAATTGGCGGTAGTAATTTACAAAGTGGTATTAACTTGCGGTAGTAATTGGCAAATTATCCTATTTAATTCACCTTTTTTTTGCTTAGCTTATCTGATCTAGTATGATCTAATGGTCAGATTTAATCAAACTTTGATTTTTATGTTTATGGTAATCTATAAAGAAGAAAAATATCAAGTGGGGTCTTGTTAGATTTTAATGTGTATTTTATTAATATGTAAATTTCACAAAAAAAATTAGAAAATTTTGTCAAAAACCACCAACTAAAAACACTTTTTTGTGAAAAACCACCCACAATAAAAAAATGTTGTAAAACATCACCCAAATTAAATAAAAATGTTGCAAAAATACACCCATTGCTGAAAACAGGTTGTTCACTATCCTCCCCCCCCCCCCTCCCCCTCGAAAACCCCTAACATTCACTCCCCCCTTGAAAACCCCTAATATTCATTCCCCTTCCACCTCGAAAATCACTCCGACCACATTTTTCGGTGGTGGCCTGGTCTGGGATTTTTCATTGTTTCAAGTGAATTTTAAAAGATTTTCAAGGGGGAGGGGGAAGGGGATCGAACGTTTTCCGGTGAATTCTAGGGGTTTTTAAGGGGATGGGACGGGTGGCCAACACCAAGGGAGGGCGGTCAACGCCGGAAAATATGGTCAACAACCTGTTTCTGGCAGTGGGTGGCTTTTTGCAACATTTTTTTTAGTTTGGGTGGTTTTTTACAACATTTTTTTATTGTGAGTAGTTTTTCACAAAAATGTGTTTTAAGTGGGTGGTTTTCCACAAAATTTCCAAATTTTTATTACATAATTAAAAATATTTAGAGATTAAAAAAAACTGCACATAAAATAATGATTTGATCTGAATTTATTTTTTCTAAAATAAATAAAAATAAGTTCGTCTAATAACCATGATTTAAGTTTCAATCTGGTTCAAAATGTTCCAAAATAAAGTTCAATAACGGCAATACGAATCAATTGATTTCAACTAGATACAATTTGGGTTTTTCAGTGTCGCCACATGGTGCGACAGGGGTTACTTGAATGGTGTTACTAGTTTTGTCAAAGGTTAGTTGTGGGTGTTACTTGTATTTTGGGGTTACTTGTATGGGTTACTAGTAGGTGTTACTTGTATTTTGAATAATCCTTACAAGTAACCCATGACCAGAGCCACGTACCAAACCAGTAACACCTGACCAAAACCCGTATGACCAAATTGACCATACAAGTAACCTCAAAATACACTATACAAGTAACACCTACAAGTAACACCCTGACTAAAATCAGTAACACCCTACAAGTAACCCCAAAATACAAGTAACACCCTACAAGTAACCCTTTCTGCACCATGTGTGATTTGTAGGTGTTACTTGTATTTTGGGGTTACTTGTAGATGTTACTTGTATTCTGAGTAACCCCTACAAGTAACCTCAGACCAAACCCCCATACTAAATCAGTAACACCTAAACATAACTAGTAAGACCATACAACTAACCATAGAATACTAGTAACACCCTGACCAAAACTAGTAACACCCTGACCAAAACTAGTAACACCATACAAGTAATCCATGTCACACTATGTGACCAGCTATATATATGTATAAAGTTAGTTAGGTGTACGGTACATTCGAGCGTATATAACAAAATTTACTTTATACAAATAACATTTTTTAACTCACCTCTTTAAATATGTCTCTAAATATGTATCCGCTGATGAAAAAAAGCGGAGTATATAAATAACTTTTGAATATTTTAAGGTTGATGTATTGTACATCAATTTATTTACATAGTAAAAGTTTATAAAAGTAAATTACATTAGAGTAAAAAAAAACACTTGGCATTCTTTTGATAATAATTTAAATCAAAGAAAGATAAAATAAAAATATGATTGACAATAAAATGGCATGTTGTTAACCTTTAATCCCTTGAAGAAAGAGCCAAAAGAGAGAAAAGAAAAAAACCGCAAATTCGGATCCAGTGTATCCCATTCGTCCAAGTGACACATTTCTGTACTCTATTGGTATACCAATTATATGTGCCAAAAATATTTAACTTTTTAATATAAACTACACATTTAATATCAATAAAAGTTAAATAAAATATAAATATTAAATATAAAATAATAAAATAATAAAAAGGACCCCACAAAAAACAGTTTATATCGGCCGCCCCGCTTTGTCGTCTCTTTCGTCTCCGTGCACCACCGTCGCTCCTCCTTTTCGTTTGACTCCACGCTTCTTTCTCTCTCTACTTTCTCTCTCTAACTTCCTTTAAATCACTTCCTCTTTTTTATTTTATCCTCCATTTTTCTTCTTCCTTTTCTTACTAAAATTCTCTTCCTTTCTCTCTCTATACTTTCTCTCTCTAGTTTTTTTTTGCTTGAACAACAAAATCATAATTATCATGGAATAGGGTCCATATTTTGAAGATCAAGTTTATTTTTGGAAGAAAATCAACAAGAAGAAGATCATTGATTTTTGCTTTGGGATTTGGTTGATTTTTTCACAAGTGGAGAATTTTTATTTTATTTTTAGTTTATAAAATAAAAAATTACTACAAGGCATATGGCCGGCAGTAATGAAATCAACGTCAATGAATGCAAGGTAATATTATTATTGTTATTTTTATATTGTTTTAATTTAATTTTGTTGAATTTTTTTAAGTGGGTTTGATTATTTCTTCTAATTAATTTAATGGGTTTAATTTATTTTTCTCAATTTTTGCAATTTTTTTTTAATGGGGTATAAAGAAAAAAAAAAAAAAAAAGATGTCGGATTTTTAGGGAGAAAGTGTGAAATTTTGAGGAGTGAAAAATTTGTCGTTTTTGATCTTTTTTTCCTTGTTTAAAAACTTCCATTTATGGGTTTGGTCTTACTTTGTTTAGAAAGTCAAGATTAAGAGAAATAGGAGCTAGCTTCATCTTTAATGTTTTGATTTGAAATATATGTACATACATACATACTAATATACTAAATAGTCTCTTATATTTGTTTTATTATCTTGTTTTGATTTGTATGATTAATAATATTTCCCCTTCATTTGATCATTTTTTTTGTTTAATTTTCCCGTCTAAAAATAGTCTAATCACCCACTTTTTGTTTTTCATGTTTTATGATGATTTACTCCATTTGTTAGTAAAATTGGTCCATAAATACTTATAATTCTGATCTTGTTTGATAATTTTGATTGCAGAAAGTAGTACCATTAAACACATGGATTCTGATATCGAATTTCAAGCTTGCATACAACCTTCTTCGCCGGCAAGATGGAACATTTAACAGAGAATTAAGTGAATTTTTAGACCGTAAAGTGTCTTCCAATACAATCCCAGTTGATGGGGTGTTCTCCTTCGACATTTTTGACATATCTGCTAATCTTTTGAACCGGGTTTATATGCCGGCTTCGTCCGAAAACGGAGCTTATTGGGGTGTTCAAGAGCTAGAAAAGCCACTAAGTACAGAGGAAATAGTACCTGTTATAGTGTACTTTCACGGAGGAAGTTTTACTCATTCGTCTGCTAACAGTGCTATCTATGACACCCTTTGTCGCCGCCTTGTTGGACTTTGTAAGGCGGTCGTAGTGTCGGTTAATTATCGTAGATCACCAGAGCATAGGTACCCGGCTGCGTATGATGATGGTTGGTCTGCCGTGAAGTGGGTTAGTACTAGGCCTTGGTTACAAAGTGGCAAGGAAAATAACAGGAAAGTTCATGTTTATATGGCAGGGGATAGCTCGGGTGGTAATATCGCGCATCATGTTGCAGTCAAGGCAGCCGAGGAAGGCGTTGATGTTATTGGAAATATTCTACTTCATCCGATGTTCGGTGGGGAGCAGAGGACGGAATCAGAAAACAATTTGGACGGGAAATACTTTGTTACAGTACAAGATCGCGATTGGTATTGGCGCGCTTACCTGCCTGAAGGGGAGGATAGAGATCACCCGGCGTGTAATATATTCGGGCCGAGGGGAAAGGCGCTTAAGGGGATCAATTTCCCTAAGAGTTTGGTGGTTGTAGCCGGGTTAGACTTGGTTCAAGATTGGCAATTAGCGTATGTTGAAGGGCTTAAAGATGCAGGGCATGAAGTGAAGCTTCTATACTTAAAGCAAGCTACAATTGGATTCTATTTCTTGCCAAATAATGACAATTTCTATACTCTTATGGAAGAGATAAAGAATTTTGTGAATCCTAACTGTTAATACTAGTAGTATCTTTGTCCTTTTAACCACCCCTGTTACCTACACCAGATATATCAGATCAGATCATCCTTATACAATGACAAAAACAGCTTTAACATTTTTTTTTTTATTATTATCATTTTGCTCCGGGCCTCCTTTTTATTCTCTTCCAAAGTTGGTGTGTAGTTAGGAATCAAGGTAGCTAGCTTCATGTGCTTAGCAGTATAGTAGTATAAAGATGTTTTAGTAGTGTTAATCACATTATTGGTGGTGATTCGAGCGAGGTTTTCTGGGTTGTTCGAGCTGATGCTATGTGGAAGTTCTTTCCAACATTGTTCTTGGGTTGATCCATCAGCTCTATGTGAATGTGACCGCGTAGAACGGACATTGTTCGTGTCATCGTCGTATTCGACAGAACTCGATCTGCCCCCGGAAAGGAAGGTTGAACCTAAACAAAATAGCAAGGTTGGTGTTTTGTCTTGGGGGGTTTAATGGGTTTCTGTAATTGGGTATTGTTATAAAGGTGCTAATTTTAGAGAAAACATGGATTTGGATTTTATGAACATTTATAAAATCCATGACTTTGTGAAGCATTAATGTAATCTTATACAGTTGTGTTAGATATTAATATAAAGGAAATTTTTGTTTGTTTTTTCTGCAAACTCTAATTGCTTATGTAACACAACTTTCATTTCGATTCAGTTGTCACATTATTTTGAACATATTATTAACGTCTTCATTAATATTGGATAGAGAGAGTAAATATCCTGCGACTCCCATGATGAGAGTCATGAAATCCTCAAAAATGGAGATGTAATCTTGTCAAATTTATGTTGATAGAGAAAGTACAGTGCAACTACTTAGTACTTGTCGTACATATTCGTCTGTAGAAGAAACAGTTTTTTTCAGATTAAGATTTGTTTCTTACTACTCCAACTTCATACAAAAATTTATTTACAAAATATAAATATCAATATAAATGCTGTTATATCATCCTTTTATTTTAGTTGGTGAGCTTGAAGTAGGATATGCTCTGTCGATTCTGCTCCCAAGTCAAGCTTCAACTCTACGAAAGACTTAGCACTTCATGATTCATGTATGTCTTTCCAAAAATTCTATTGACTATTTTTATTTTTATTATTATTAAAGTATAATAAAAGGTGGAGACTTTTCACTCAAAATTCAAATGTGACATAAGGGGTGATATAATTAGATTCATGCAATGCAAAATCATTTAAAAGTAATAGATCTATTAATATACAAGACTATCTTGCTAATAATAATGTACAGAATATAACCCATGTCACTTAACTTTTCCGTTATTTTTCCTTTTGTCATACATCAGATAAATATCAAAATAAAAGGTGTAATACTTAATAAGACTTATTTGAACAGAATGAATGATGAAACATGTGTAAATCATGTACGACCTTGCCAAGAAAACTCAAAAAAAAAGAAGAAATGGTCACCATAAAAAGCAAAAAAGTAATCATATCAATGGAAATACCATGCCAAATTATGGGCAATTTCCTATAGAATTGTATTTATTGATGAAAAAAGAAGACATAGAATAGAGGTTGATTCTTAAAGAAAAGCCAAGACTAACCCTATCCACCACTAAAGACGAGCCCTAGAAATTGGCCATAAAAAATGATTGGGGTTGGGGTTTGGGGTTAGATAGTTGGGGAGTGGTGGGGTTATATGAGGCCACACCATCAATTTCGCCATCTATCCACATCAATTTTGATTAATCCTTGTCATTTCCTCTTTGCCCATTTTAGGTGTCTTGCTTGGAATTTGGAATGGTATCAATTTCAGGAGTTTAGCGTGCCAATTTCAAAAATAAAAATATAAATAATCTTTTGAAATTGTCTAAATATTAGTTGTGATACTTCATTATATTTTATATGAAATTATAATGGATTCATAATGTTTATTGTTTGAATGTATAATAGATATGTTGTTGATGTTAATTTTTAGTCGGACCAAAGTGTGAACAAAAAGAATAATAATCATATAACAATCTTGTTCATTCAACTAATCATGGTCAATCTATAATAATTAAAAAAATTATTTCATCATTTTAAGTTCTATTAAATGCATAACTATTACAAACTTCAAAGATTTTTGTTTGTAGTCCAAAACAAATAAGAAAAAAAAAGGCAAAAGAAAACTCATCCTTCAGTGGTTGGAAAGTTTTGGAAGTATTATGAGGGACCACATCATCTCTTTTGGGGAGGCTAGGAAAGTACCCTTATTATTATTTTTATTATAGCTATGAATCAAACAAAAGTTCTTCAAGAAAGAGAGAGAAATTGGGGGGTTGGTCTAAAATCATTAGTGGCCACTAATATTGTTGCTTTAATTGACTTTGTTGGCCTAAACTTTGCTTAAACTACATGGTTTGTGCTTTTTGGTTAGCACCTGTCAGTTTTTATTAGTATTCTAATTTTAATTTTAATTTTAATCTTAATTTTAATTGTTTCAAAAAAAAAATCTTTTAATTTTATATTTCTATTTAACTTTAAATTAAATTAAATTGATTCAATAATAATTTTGGAAAGAATTCAATAGTAATTATACTTTTAATTTAATTTAAATTTATTTTTAATTAATTTTAAATTAAATTTAATTTATACTTTAAATTTAAATTTAAATTAAATATTTAAATAATACCCTTTCCTCCTTGTGTGTGGGGGCTTTTAATTTTTTGATTTTGGAATTATTTACTTTCCTTTTCTTGTTTGGCTTGCCCATGTCTTGTCCCCTTGTGAATATTTTGTCGGTTAGTGTATTAGCTGGGTTCATTTGTTTGAATATGTTGTCAAATAAAGACATTGGCATGTCATTGTCAACCTTGATTACTTCCTTCTTCATTTCTTTATTTGATTAATCTCCAAATTATAGGACAAATTACTCTATTTTTTCTCTTCTTTTCTTGCTTATGTTAGCATTCCAAGTCTTTTAACGAGGGGCTACGCATACAATATGCATAGCATACAATATAAATCTGTACAATTGTACAAACCTAATTAGTTAAAAAAAAAAATTTGATTACACTAACCATTTTTTCAAACAAATATTTTGTATTTACTCATAGAGTCTTGACCCGGTAAAAATTTGTGTCATGCTACTATGTACTTTAGTCCAAACTATGCCAATTTTTCATCATTGATTTTTTGTAGTTAAAAAAAAAAATAAAATAAAAAACTCAATAAACTAAAGTTGTAGTATGTCAAAAAAAAAAAACCTCAATATCCCCAGCAAAAACCCTTGAACAAGCAGAGCATGGCGTCGAAACACAGAGAATAAAGGAACACCCAAACGGTAGCACAACACACATCGGTAAGTCTTTGCGTTCATCGTCTAACCCAACCTTGAAATAGGAACAGCCCGAAGCCAAGCAGAGGTGTGATCTTCTTGCTGCGATTTACACAATGTTGATTATTATTATATTATTATTGTTGTTGTTGTTGTTGTTATTTATTTATTTATTTATTTATTTATTTATTATTATTATTATTATTATTATTATATCTCAAAAACAAAAGTCATACAACCTACAATAAATTAGTGAAAAGCCGAGATACAATCTAGGCCCCCACTCCTCTAGCTATTGCAAATCCTACCCTAATGAAGATATGAGCTGCAGCACGAGCCCTAATGTCTTGCGTCGTCGAGAACCTCTGAATCCGCTTCAGTAACGCAACAACCTCTTTCTCTAATTCCCCAAGCGAAGAAAAGGAGAAGGGAATGAAACCATATCCAATCGCCTGACATCGAGCTTCATACTTAACCCGCTTCCGATGAGCTGCATCAGCCACAACCCGCCCAGGAATGAAGTCAGATAGCCCTGACTGTGTCAAAGGAGAAAACCCTGTCAAATCAACACAGACATCGCGACCACGATCCCATGAATAAAGTAACACATCCGCGGGTTTGAGGGTCTCGTCGTTCCCTCCATCCAACCCAATGTCAACCTCTTTTCTCGCTGAAATCCCAGAACGATAGCAAACATCAACAAGGGTATCCCGAACAACATTATGCCGATGTTTAATACCCACAATACCAGCACAAGACACCGCGTGATCACCGAAAATATCTCCAGCAAAAACCCTCGAACAAGCAGAGCACAACGTCGAGATAGAGAACAATGGAACACCCAACCGATAGATCAACACACAGCGATAAGTCTTGGCGTTCATCGTCTGACCCAACCCTGAAATAGGAACCGCCCGAAGCCAAGCAGAGGTGTGATCACCCTGTTGTGATTTCCATAATGCTGATTGTCGAGGAGTTAAAGAATAAGCAGATTCTGCAGAAGCGGTAACCTTTGTGAAATATATATCTGCCAATTTTCTTCATGAGTTTAGGGGCAGCGGCCTCACTAGGATTACTCAAAATGTCAGATTCCACTGTTCCATTAAACAGACTCAACGCATCATCAAAGGCTCGTCCAAGACCAACAATGCCAGCATGCCGAAGAAGTTGTGTCTGCAACCCAGCAGACTGTAACCGAGAAGCAAGAAAAGCATAGTGACGAACATCACCTGCAGAATAAACACCAAGCCCTCCAAACGCAAATGGTAAGGTGGCAAGTCGCCACTGCCAATCACCAAACCCAGGCCTCGAAGCAGTAACAATACGCTCCAAGGAAGATCGAAGAGCTCCATCAAAACTGCGCTGAGCCACCTCAAAAGTACTAGGAGGACAAGTACGCAATGCAAAGTAGAGTTTTGAAACTCCAGTACATGCCCTAAGTTACAACAGCTCACACTGAGGATCATCGAGCATAGCGACCTTATCCATAAGGGCAATGGTCTTGGTCACCCTCTGCATCACAAGCTCACCACTAAAACCAGAATTGGAACTAGCGGGACCTCCAAGCAACCTAACATTACGCAAAGGTCGAGCAATATTAGGTGGAAAGACACCCACCAGCCTGCTTCGAGGGTCTTCTGTAGGCCAGAAAACTTCAATTTTTTCCACATTAAGACATAACCCAGAACGAGGTCCTTCCTCCATAATCAAATGCATAACTTGCCCCACCACATTATTATATAAAATCTAACTAATCTGTTATAATCCAGACCATCTAATCAATCTGATCTAATTTTTAACTGTGACGAATAGAGTAAAATACATATTTTTTATATAAGTTTTTTATTTATTTTAATGTTCTACAAAAATTACTATAATGGTATAATAATCAATACGTGATATATAACATAAAATATTATATTATTAAAAATATAAATTTGATATATTAAGATTGACTTATGGGAACTTATTAGACCTTATAGTAATTTTTTAGACCTTATTGAAACTTAATAAACCTTATTGAATTTATTGGAACTTAGAGTGTATTCTATTCACATGATATTCAATTATAAAAACATATCCTAACTTAACAGAACTTATCAGAGTTTAATTAAACTTATATGAAATTATTAAACCTGTTAAAACTTACTTAAATTGTTATTTATTTGTACTTGAATAACCCTTATCAAAATTTTTATTATCAAAAATTTATGTTTTCTGAACTGAACTTAGCTAAATTTATTAGCTAGATATAATGAAATTTGGTAGAACTTATTGAAACTTATCTGAACTTTTTCGAATTAATTTGAACTTATTAAATCTAAAACTTATATTT